TAGATTGCCGTTCCAAAAGCCCATTCTTAATAGAGATATCCACTTCCACTGCGAAACGAACTATTCACTGGCAAGTTCGCTCAAACCACATTGGCTGATCCCCAAGAGCTCCCCTTGGTGTTGAGGGGCTTCAGGGGTCCAGAGGGGTTGGACCCCGCACTAGACTGCTTGAGGTTACAATCCGACCAATTCTCTGAGCAACCCGTCCACGGCTCATTTCCCCATAGGTACAACAAGTCGGTGAAGTCAATTTTCCTTTTCGTCAAGCCCGAATCTTGCGTCTCTCGTACCAATTGAGCGTCTGATTTGTTTCACTCCAATCTTTGTTTCAGAATCTCCAAACCTTCCTCCATCTACTCATACCCCGCTTCATAATGTCCGATACCAAGGTCTACCGCGCCAGCACGACTGCGCCTGTCAACATCGCCGTTGTCAAGTAAACACTACACCTCCATCGCATCTTAAAGGCCTTCACTGATACGATATAGATACTGGGGAAAGCGCGATGCTAAGCTCAACCTCCCTACCAACAGCTCCCTCTCCGTAACCCTCTCGCAAGCCGATCTCCGAACCCTCACAACAGCCTCGTGCTCGAGCACCTTTACCGATGGCGACAGCCTCACTCTCAACGGAGAGTCCTCCGACATCTCTGGCGCCCGAACCCAAGCTTGCTTCCGCGAGCTTCGATCCCGCCGCGCAGCTCTCGAGGCCGCCGACTCTTCGCTCCCCAAGCTGTCCACATATCCCCTGAAGCTCGTCTCCGAGAACAACTTCCCCACTGCTGCTGGCCTTGCCTCCTCAGCTGCTGGTTTCGCTGCCCTCGTCCAGGCTATCGCTCTGCTGTACGAGCTTCCCGACTCGCCTTCTGATCTTTCGCTCGTCGCTCGACAAGGCTCTGGATCTGCTTGCCGCAGTCTCTTCGGTGGATATGTTGCGTGGAGAATGGGCGAGAAGGAGGATGGAAGCGACTCCAAGGCCGACCTTGTCGCTCCCGCTTCACACTGGCCTGACATGCGAGCTCTGATCCTCGTTGTCAGCGCCGCCAAGAAGGGTGTGTCTTCCACCTCTGGCATGCAGCAGACCGTTGCTACATCAGGTCTTTTCAAGGAGAGAATAGCAAACGTTGTCCCCGCCAACATGACCGCCATGGAGGAGGCCATCAAGAACAAGGACTTCCCCAAGTTCGCTGAGGTCACCATGCGCGACTCCAACTCTTTCCACGCTACTTGCGCCGACACCTACCCTCCCATCTTCTACATGAACGACGTTTCCCGCGCCGCTATCCGCGCTGTTGAGTACATCAACGAGAAGGCCGGCAGGACCATTGCAGCTTACACTTTCGACGCTGGTCCCAACTGTGTTGTCTACTACGAGGAGAAGGACGCTGATACCGTTGTTGGTACTTTCTACCAAGCGCTCCAGGGTGTTGGCGGTTTCAAGGAGGGTGCTGCTAGCGCCAAGTCTAGCGTTGAGCTTGAGAGTGCTCTTGCTTCTACTTTGAAGGAGGGCGTGAGCAGGGTCATTTCCACTGGTGTTGGAGAGGGTCCTATCAAGACTGATGAGTTCCTTGTCGGAGAGGACGGTCAAGCTGTTCGACGATAGATGGGGATATAAAAGATCTAGTGAAGTAAATAGCATGTTGGAATGATATATACAAAGAAGTTTGAAGCTGAAACAAAATGAATTATAATATTTTACGTTCTGGAAGTGATCCCATTCATCATTATCTCTGGTGCCGATCATGATCATGAGTTGAACCCATCGTTGATCCTCCACATCGCCGTGTGGGGCCGTCCAAACTCACCTCCACGCCTTCACTCGGCTCCGGGGACTTGATAAGTCTCCACCAAAAGATCAATGCCTTCCTATAAAAGAGACATCTTTGAGTTTTCTAAATCCTAGTCACGCCGCAGTTCTAAGGGCGCATTGTACCTGCTGGTCGCACTGACACGTCTTCGCCCTGCGGGGCACTGCTTGTGTCACTGCAACATGTGCCGTAACACCACTGTGAGCTGCCTGTAGCTTACAATCTTCCAACTCTCATCCTTACAACCTCATCAACACCATCGCGATGGATGGTTTAACGAACCTCCTGGGTCGCGGCGAACCTGTTGAGATTGTTGAGCTGGATAAATCGGGAAATGTCTCACGAACCTGGAATCACACCGTCGACAACCATGTACGTTTCTTTACTTTGGAGTATGAGTATCATGGCTAACTCAGCTTCAGGTCGTTGCCAAGTCGAAACCTAGCATCTCACTCATTCCCTCTCTTCGCGAGGCTTTCATGCCAGTCGGATACCCTCACTCTGTGTCTTCCGACTACCTAAACTACCAATTCTTCGACTCCCTTCAAGCTTTCTTCTCAACCATCACTTCCCTCCTCGCAAACCGAGCTCTCCTCCAAGGTCTCGGCGTCGGAGATGCCAACTCATCCGCCACATTCGCGATGCTGCTCACAGTCCTCAAGGACGCCATGTCTCGCATCGCCACTATTGTCTTTGCCCAACAATTCGGTCTTCGTATTGAACCCGATGCCAAGCGCTTCCGCTTCCTGGCCGATCTTTTCAACGACACTGCCTTCTTTCTGGAGCTGTACAGCCCGTACTTTGGGCCCTATGGAAAGATCCTTGCTTTGACTTCTGGAGAGACGTTGCGAGCGTTGTGTGGCGTGGCCGCTGGCGCGAGCAAAGCTGCTCTTAGTGTACACTTTGCAAAGCATGACAACCTCTCTGAACTCAATGCCAAAGAGGCCAGCCAAGAGACCGCCGTGGGTCTTATCGGCCTTCTTGTTGGAACTATCGTGGTCAAGTATGTCGAGGACCACCATAGCGTTCTATTCCTGATGACCATTCTCGTCTTTGCTCATCTCTGGATGAATTACCTTGGAGTTCGAGCTGTGTGCATGGACAACCTTAACCAGCAGCGTGCAACCATCCTGTTCGAAGAGTATCTCAAGACCGGAAATGTGCTCTCTCCCGAACAAGTCACCCGCCGTGAGAATATTCTTCTCTGGCGGCCCGTTGTCCGAAACCAACAGGGACAGAAAATCGCACGCATTGAAATGGCCAAAAGCTACTGGGACGCCATGGGCGCCAAAGCTCCCGACAGCAACATCGTCATCATCGACGGCGCTCGGAATTCACTCTTTGTCTGGTATCACTCGAAGCGCAGCTACACTCCAATCAAGATCATGCTCTGGCAGGACGCCAGTGCCGTCCACGCCATCAGTGCTTGGTTCATGGCCATGGAGATGGCCTGGCTTCTGGAGAAGAGCCAGGGCTACACCGACAAGCTGGATAAGATCTTCCGCGTAAAGGAAACCGTCGATGGCTACGAACAGAAGTACGACAAGCGCGAGCTCTGGGATGAGATGCTCGCCAAGGGATGGAACATCGAGTCGCAGGCTTTTGAGACAGGTGCGCCTGTTCGTCTGCTTGCTCAGCTGGAGGGGAAGAAGGATCAGTAGTTAGACTGGTGGTTCTCGGCGTCAAGGCGAAAGGGAATAATACCCTAGAACATGAAAATTGATTCAATGGAGATTTATGCTAGTCATCCAACCCTCTCTATGCTTTTTGCCCATGTTGTACATTTTCCAAACGCCCTCCGATGAATCACTCATACATCATACAGACTTTATACAGCAGTTCATCCTTATGCTAGGAACGCCCATTTCTTGGCTCGCATCTTAACGCCCTCCCATGTATTCAACTTCGGCCGCACATCAAGGTAGAAGCTAGGCCCGCCTTTTCCGTCTGGTCGTCCGGCGTAAAAGTCGATAACGTAGTCAACCCTCGTACCGCACCGGTCGATGACCCAATCGTGTCGGTCGAACGGTGCCGTGTAGCCGAGTATAGTATTGAAGCGGGCGGTGGGAGTCATGCGATCCATCTTGTTGGCAAAAGATTCGAGCTTGGGGCCATCACATCTAACACGATTAGTTCCTCTCCTACCAATATAGATGATATAGCCTTACTTGGTGCCCTTGAGATACGGCGCTTCCCACTCCTTGATCTCTTTCCAAGCTCTTTCATTAACGGCATTGTGGATGGGCACAACGGTCTTCATGTCTGCTACCCTCGCATCGTAACCCTTTCGCTTCATAGCATCGAAAAACATCTTCTCCGAAGGATAGACCCAGTTGCCGGAGGGATCTACACCTGTTTCCATCTCGTGATTCGCAGGCTTTGCAGGTTCTTTTCCATGATCGACCGGACACGCCGCAGGTCCGCCAGAGGTTCGTGGAATCGTGGATACAACGCGGTCGGTGTCAAGAGCGTCGTTGGAAGGAATTTGCGTAGGTGGCGGTGTAGGTTTGCTCGAGGACCATGGGAGACATGACGAGAATGTTTGAGACCATGACTTGGACTGTGCTTGCGCTGTGTGGTCGACTGGACATCCAGCTGCTTTTGCTTTTGCGGCTTCGGCTTCACGGGCTTGAGCGAGCCATGCTTCGCGGGATTTGTGATCGACGGGACAGGCGTCTTTGTCTGCCATGGCGAGGATGATACGCGGTGTTATCGTTGGGAAGGATTGTGTGTCGAGAGATTCAATTGCGAACAAGGATTCAGAAAATGGCGTAATTGATCATGGATGGATCGGATCGTAAATGCGCCGGAACGGATTGGTTTGGAGGCTTGCAAAGAAAAATAATATGGGCCAGCTCCGGATTTTTCCCGCAAGCCGCACGGGCAGGGAGGGTCCGGGCCGGAGACTAACCTACAACTTCACTCCATCAACGAATGGCCTGTATCAAATTATCCCAGTTTAGTCGAGATTTCTTCAAGTTATGATGACTTTTCAGACTTTAGGCCAAACTTGTATCATATTATCCAAGTTTAGGATAGGTTTCTTGAATTTATGATGACTCTTCAAAATTTAGGCCTCACTGAAACTTTGCCCTAAGATTTAGGTTATTCTTATAAACCTCACCTAAACTTTTGCAATTGTGAAGGACGAATATTCTATTATCTCACTACTCTCTTGCTCGGAATACACTCATTAGTCGCGATCGAAGCGCCCTCGAACTCCTGGAGCATTTTTCCACGTCATGACCCGGATAACAAGCGGGGGCAAATCTCTGCCCGTTCGCATCGCAATAGAAGCCTCCTTCATCTTTGAGTAGATTCCTTCCACTCTCTTTGCGTACATTTTGACGATTGCTCGGGGCACTTCGTAGTAGATTCTCTGTCGCGCATTGAATGTCTTGGGAGGGACTTGATTTTCAGTTTGTATGTAATCCCTATAGTAGTTCGTCGTAAAGGTGACCCTTTTTGGCTCGATGATGAGGTCTTGAGGCTTGACGATGATGTACAGAACTCGAAGTCGGGGAAATCGTCGTAGAAGATCGTTCGGATGTTCAAAAGGATCTCCAGGATCGATGGCTTGTAGGGGTAAACGCCGAGACGCGGGGAGTACATGGTCGGTTTCCCAAAAAGCGCCTATAAACTTGATTGAGGGGAATGTTCCCTGCGCGGTGGAGTCGTAAAGTCTGCAGATGATTAAAAGGTCGTTCGAGGCATCAATTGTCTCTCTCGTTTTTCCTGCCCACGTGTTGGGTTTGGCACTGAAGTGCATATCATTGAAGTTACCGATCTTGTTGAAATCCATATAATCGAAAGACTTGGATTTGCTAGCCTGCCACTGCCTTCTCATCTCCCTCGTTCTTGCTTCTGAGACGTCACAGGTTTCCATCAATATTGTATATGTCCCCAGCGGGTTCGGAGGTACGTTGAGGCCTTCGTTCGAAGTGACTTTAAGCCGAAGTGGCTTATCTATGACGGGGTATGCCAGGAACTCAGCGAAGTGGGCGGTTGGCTTGTCCAAGTGACTGCGCGCGGGGATTTCCTAGATCATCCCCTGTAACTCTGAAGGAAGCTCGGGGAACACCGTGAAAGACATGATGAATTAATCGTTTGTATGATGATTGTGATGATGATGATGATGGGGGATGTGGATGTGTACAACTTGAGATGGGGAGGAAAGAAAACTCAGGATCTTGACCCTAGATGACAAAAAAGCTTAGGTAATTTAGCATAAGCTTAGTATACCTTTGTTAGATTTAGGATAAACTTTGCTGAGTTTATTTTGACACCCTGGACATGGCAGGTGCTACGTACCTCTATCACCACCTAGGCACCGTGCCTTACAATCGCCAAAGTTTAGGTGAAATTTATAAGAATGACCATAAATCTTAGGATTGCTTTGAAAGATTTGATGAGTGAGGCCTAAACTTAGAAAAGCCATTTCATCTCGGTATAAGATTTCAAGTTAGGTACAACACCATGGACGGTTAAACTACTATACCAAAAAGTAGCAGTGTATTACTTATTATTATTACACTTATTTAGCATTATGACAGTCAACAGGCTGTTAGGGAAACCCCAAAGCATCCAATGTGATAGAACGCAGCTTCCGACTCACTTCATTTCATTGGACTACCAAGCATCTTGCCCCCCCCCTCTGAGTATAGCACGTGTAGGAGAAGTCAGTATTGTGTCTGGATATAGATACCTGCTCAGACATTAAGATCTCGGAATATTATGAATGGTTTTATTCTAGCTGGAAAGACCTGGTGATAGCTACGTGTAAATATGCAAATGAATCCATACGACGTGGTTTCTACTGGTGTGTGAAGACCCATGGCTCCCTTAGTTGCAACTCATTCTGCAAGGCATACCCCGAGATCAAGCCGTATTGCCCACCTCGCGGTAACTCTTATACTTCCTCATATGCCAATCAATGCTCTTCCAACGCCCGCCCTTCTCGTCCTCAAACTCAACATCCATTCTCGGCCTCATGAAGTACGCGCACGAGAACCTATTCTCAATCGTCTCCCCCGGATACGGAGCAACGCGGTGCACCACAGACCGGAATCTCCTCCCCGAGAGGAAGCGGAGCGAGTCGCCTACGTTGACGACTGCGCAGCCGTCGCGAGGCTCCACGGAGCGCCACTCCTGTGTGTCCTGGTTAAACGTCTGCAGACCGCGATCGCCACAGAAAAGGATGGTGAGGCTGCCAACGTCGGTGTGGGCGCTGAGGCCAGCGTTGGGACCTTTGGTTGAGAGGGAGGGGTATCGCTGGACGGTCATGCACGAGGTTGACGGGTCTGTGGGGAGGTGTTTGGGCGCAAGTGGTGAGCTTGTGTTGAGCCCTGCCTCGTGGCTGATCTGGTCCAGAGCATCGAGCAGTCCTAGACCAATCTCATGGAGCTGGTCCATGACACTGGCCAGAAGGGTAGCTTCGTCTTGCAGTACATGTGGCAAGGAAAGGGGGTGCCCGTCTACGATGGGGTTGCATATGCCATCTCTGGGAAACTGGTAGGGGTGTATTGTGTTATTCACAGTTCACATATGAATGAATGGATGAACTTGTCGGAAAGCTTACTGTGTATCCTTCCACGCCATGCTTCTTCCCATCTCCAGCAAGACCAGCGTTCCTCCCGAAAGGCGTGTAACTACACTCAACAAGTCAGAACGAATGCAACAATGCCGCAGAGCTGAGGATGAACGCACCCATTGAGCTTCCAGGGGCCGATTGTGTCGACGTCATACTTCATCTTCGTATCCTCGTCCAGCTGGAAGAAATTGTTCACGGCCTTATATACCAATGGTATCTCTTGGGTGACTGGTGTAGGCTTTTCGTTAGCACTCTGGAGATCCAGGTACAAGAACCCGTCCTTTTCACATGCTCTTCGGAGAGCGGACAACTCATTGACGTTTCCTTGTTTGATCCTTGTATATGAGATGGTTGTAAAGTCAGCGGACTCGGGTGAGGGAACCTCAGTTGTGTTGGTGATTGTGGCTGTGGTTGACATATTGGCCGGCTTAGATTGTGAGTATACTTCTTGAGGCAAGAGGTCGAGAACCGGCATCATGGGATTTCAGAGCCTGCCAGCCTCTGATGTATCATGATACTAAACGGTTGGAATGCCATTAAGGGTCCCGAATATGTCCATGTACTGTAAGCGAAGAATCAATCGCCTTTGACACAACCATTGGACGTCACCCAGGTTGTGCTTGGAGTACGCATGCAGTGTCACTCATGCAGGTTCGCCAATCAACATCATCATTGGTGTAAATCGATATAAGTCAACATTCTGCGGGGTCATTGGTATCCATTTCATGCAAGTCACTTCTGTAAAAGATCGATTCTGACACTACATCGCATCAGCTTATCATAAGTTGACACCGGTATAGGTGATCGCCGACTTGGCCCTGGCCGTGGGAGTCTTCTTGAGTCCGCATCCAGCTCTAATCCTCCGTCTATGTATTGCAGCACAGATCACAATGAGCATCCCTGGCCTCCCCGTGGAGGGATCACCGCAATCTTACTGGCAGCATGAAGCCCAAAAGCAACAAGTACATCCAAACACTGAGCCTCTCCCAAGCTCATGTGATGTGGCCATTGTGGGAGGTGGTTATGCAGGTATTGCCACAGCATACCACATACTGCAGACGGTCTCTCCACCGCCCAGTGTGTTCCTCTTGGAGGCAAAGAATCCGTGCTCTGGAGCTACTGGACGCAATGGAGGACACCTACGCCCTGACTACCTGATGGGAGCTGCGAGCAACTCGAAGAGGTACGGTGCCTCTGCGGCGGCCGAGATCGTGCAATTTGAAGCCCGTCATCTCGACGTGATGAGAGCTCTCATCAAAACGGAAGCTATCGACTGCGACTTTGCAGAGACGGAGAGTCTCGCTATTCTCACAACCCCCGGGCAAGTCTCCATGGTGCGTGAGGCATATGAGGGCTTAAGGCAAGCATCGCCTTTCAATGATACCTTGCTAGATGTGGTAGAGTTCTACGAGGGTGATGATGCACCTGAGCGTACAGGACTGCGAGGCGCAAAAGGGTATTTCTCCACGCCTGCAGCTCGGGTATCGCCCTACAAGCTTCTCACGGCTCTTTTGGCGCGGTGTGTTGACATAGGGCTCTCACTAGAGACCCATACTGCGGTGGTGTCAGTTGAGCACGCTGGATCAGACGGTCATGTCCTCAAAATGCGCTCGGGAGAAACCATGAGAGCTAAAAGAGTCGTCATTGCCACCAACGCCTATACCCCAGCACTTCTCCCCGAGTACGCGAGTTGTATCGTGCCCTGCAAGGGACTTGTATGCCACATCACAGGTCCTAAGGACAAGCCACTGCCGAACCTCCTCGCCGCAAGTTATGCTATAATGGAACAGGACCCCATCTCCAAGAAGACCGGCTACAACTATATGGTACAACTGGAGGATCGTAGCATAGTCGTCGGTGGCGCTCACCACAAGTACGATGAGAATGACCCAGAGAGCTGGTACAACAACGTCGATGACACGCAGCTCATTGAGCCGGCGCGACGGTACTTTGAAGATGACTACATGCAGCGGACGTTTGTCGGGTGGGAGGAGTCGGGCGCGCGTGTTGACCGTGTTTGGTCGGGGATAATGGGGTATAGTACTGACTCGCTTCCTCACGTAGGAGAGGTTCCTGGTAGAGATGGTGTATTCGTAATTGCTGGCTTCCACGGACATGGTATGCCTGTTATCTTCTTAGCCGCGGAGGGCATTGCGGCCATGACTCAGGGGCTAGCGTACGAGAAGACTGGATTGCCATCTTTGTTCAAGACATCTAGAGAGAGGCTGGAGTCAGAGAGAAATGACATCTTGGCTGGAAGGGGCATCCGGTTGACGAAGGAGTAGAGCTTGACTACTGTATGGCTGTATGTAAGACACTATACAAACTATGTACGTATGGGACATTACTTCAACAAGTGCGTATCTTCCTGGTATTCTTGACCATCTACCATGTCCCGAGGCTCCAGACCTAACTATAATTTGTCTTCAGTCCTTTCGAAAGCCTGCTCAAAGTCCGCAATTATGTCCCTCGCATCCTCTATCCCAAGCGACAACCTCACAAGGTCCTCGTCCACCCCCATAGACAAGTTCTCCTCCTTGGTGAAGTGCTTATGCGTAGTTGACCAGTGGTGCCCAACCAGTGTCTTGGAGTCGCCTACATTCGTTGTGTTGATTATCATCTCAAAAGAGTCGATCAGCGAGATAGCCTCCGCCGCACCACCTTTGAGCCCGAACGTGATGACGGTGCCGAAGCCCCGCTGGAAATACTTGAGGGCAAGTTGGTGGTGAGGGTGATCTTGGAAGCCTAGATAGCGCACCCAGGCAACTCGAGGATGGGCTTGCAGCCAGAGGGCCAAGGCCTCGGCGTTCTTGGACTGACGCTCGCAACGAACCGAGAGGGTTTCCACCCCTGACCACAGTGAGTAAGATCAGAGATTGTTTTCATATGAAGATGTAGTTTTGATTCTTACCAATGAATAGTTGCTGAGCTGCAAATGGGCCAAGGCATGGCCCAGTATCACGCATATACTCAGTCTTGAGATACTGCATATACGCCCTGTCACCAGCAGCCGCATACCAATCGTCCTGCTCACCCTGCAGCCCCGGAAGCTGTCCATAGAGACTTGGAAAGCGAATCTTGTTGGCCTGCCAATCAGAACGCCCAGTCTCAATAACGAGACCGCCGAGTGTAGTGCCATGGCCTCCTATCCACTTGGTGGCGGAGTGGATGAGGATGTCGGCGCCCCATTTAGCAGGCTGACAGAAGTAACCAGCTGCGGTGAGTGTTGCGTCGACCACAAGGGGGATTTTGAGATCTTCCGAGTGTGCGATTGCGGCAAGAGCTTCAAAGTCGGGGACGGAGAACATGGGATTTCCGAGAGACTCGGTGAAGATGAACTTGGTTTTGTCGTCAATAAGGGATTTGACATGGTCAAGATCGTTCACATCACAGAAACGTGATTCGATACCGCTGTAAGCTCAATTTAGTCTATAGGCTTTCCCGACACACAAAAGACTTACAGCTGGGCCTGAGCCTTGCGGAACTGACGATACGTTCCACTA